GAAGAGAACGAAGACGGGGGGTGGAGGCTAGGTCACATGAGTATGTAGGTGACTTATAAGTTTGATCTTTGCTTTGAACAATCTGCAGCAGCAGGGGCAAGAGAGTGATGAGGACTGGATACAGGAGGCTTTCATTTTCCTGGCTGCACATTTCTTTATGGCTTTTGCCGTGAGTTGCTGTTCAAAGGCCAATGGTCCATTCTGGATTTGGGACCTCCAGGATGGACGGTTGCAAGCGATTTGCTCCCACAACTCTTTAGGAACACCTTTAGGATGTCCTTGTAACGCTTCTTTTGTGCGCCATGAAAGTGTACTTCATTTGACAGTTAGCCATAGGAGATTTTCTTTGGCAGGCAAGTGTCAAACATTCTTGAGAGGTGGCTGGTCCATCTTAGCTGTGCCAGTTTCAGCAGGGTGTGAACACTGGGGAGAGTTGATCTTCCAAGCACCTCGGTGTCCAGAATCTTGTCCTGGCCGTTTTATTGAATTAAAAAAGATGTTGATCAACTTTGATCTGTTTCTTCAGGGATAGACCAGAAAGTCCTCCCTCCTTTTTAAGATTCACTTAATTTTCAATTTATATCCCAATAACTTACAGACAAAAATACTTACAGAAATATTATAGTCATGCCCAAACACCAATAAAAGTTGAGTTAGGGTTATGCTTAAAAGAAATCTGAACTTATTAAGGTAAACAAAAGAACCAAAAATGTAGCCAAATAAACTTAATGCCCTGTAGTGATCTTTTGCAGTCACCATATGTTTAGGATTAATACATGTCAGTCTGTGAGTCTAGATTATACCAAGATGACTCATAAACCTCATTGGAGTTTTCCATATATTTTCTTCCTGGTGTAAACCAACAGACACCAGTCTTTGGAGACAGTACTAGGGGTAGAAGCTACACATAAACCGGTTTAAGTGATCAGAAACTGGTTTAAACCTGGAACAGAATAGAAGTTCAGTGCACATAAGAGTTTTGAAATGGCTGAAACTGGTTTAAGATAAACCTGGTCAAATGTAGTACCAGACTTAACAGATTTAGGTCAAAGCAGTTTATGAAACTTCTGTCCCAGAGCCCTTCCTGGTTCAAGTTAAATCACAATCCCCCAGCATTTTGTAGCACTGAGCTGGTCTGTGCTGCCTGCTCCAGAAATCAGGGCTGGTGCTGCCACTCTGGTCCCTAGCTGGAACAGTGAGGGCTGGCTCACTAACTGCCCCGCCAGCAAGCCCTTGCTGGGGTCTGAGGATAGGGAGGGGGGTTAAACTTCCCTTCCCCCGAGTACAGAGCTGTGCTGCCCTGCCCTGCCCTGCCCTGCTTAACTTAGTGCAGCCTGTGACTGTGGACTACAAATCCCAGGGGCACCTGGAAGCAGGAAGGGGAAGTGATGAGCAAACCTGCGTAGTCCTGCTGTTGTGATTCTGGACTGCAAATCCCAGAGACCTTGGGGGCAACAGGAAAAGGAAACAAACACACAGCCCATTCTGGCTACATGCCAGAGCTGTGCTCTAATGCCCCCTGGCTTCTGGCTGAAGCTACTTCAGACATGTGGCTGCACTTCCTGAATCAAAAGTGAATGTCTGTTAATTTGCTTATTGGTTCAATCTTTTCAGTTTTGACTAATCTGCAAAGACTGAATCAATTCAGCCTCAGGTCTTTTGCCCCAGGTTTTTTTTGACTGCCCGTACTTAGCCTTAGAAGCCTAGTTCTCAAACTCACTGTAGAGATGCTAGGTTCAGTGCACACTGGGCTTTCTGGTCATTTGTCTCAGATATCAGTATGCTGGGAACAGAGAATAGGAAGACAGAGGACACACAACAGCTCTCTCACAGTTTCAGCTAAAAAATATTTTGCTCTTTGACATGCTATTGATCAAATTTGGTATGGTAATATTCATTGGGGGAGGGGAACAGAACTACTTTATAATCCTTACAAATTGAATGGCCACTCAGAAATCTTGCCCACTACTATCATGCTTGAACTTCAGAGCAAGACCACAGGTTATTTTCTAATTATCTGAGCTTTCTCCACACAGATGACAAATGGAAGTAAATGATGACAGCCATATACAATTGAGCTGTGATCAGGATTGACAGAATCATAGCCTTTCCAGCAAACTATTTATTTTGGAGGTTTGAATTGGTGACTGACTTGTTGCAGTAGCCTGTAGTTTTAATTGAATTAGCATATTGGTCACTACCTATAATGCACCTCCTTTGTTTAGGCTTCTAGCAAACTGGGAAGAGCACAGCTGCAAGGTTCAGCATTGCCAGGAAATGACTCCCTCCTGCCTCCCACCCCCACCCTCTTGAGCAGGTTTAAATGTTCTGTGAAGTCTTGACTTAACCTACTTTCTTTATGAATCACTGCAATGACTGTTCTCAGTTGTGCATTCACTGTGAACTAGGGGTGCAAATATTTAGACATTAATTGCTTGATTTGCTGATGCAAGCACAAGTCATTTCTAAAACTCAGGCCCTTGACAGAGTTGTCTGTGGCTTTTGTTTGAATATTGTGTTAGTCTCAGTAAGATACCCCACTCCCATACTTCTCTTTTTTTCTAAAGGGCAAGAGCATTTAAATTCAAGACCATCTCTTCAAGATCCACTTACAAAAGGAATGCTGCTTCCAGATTAACAAATTCAGATGCTACAGTCAGCCATGTAGAAAATTGCAACTACCAAGTTACTCGATACCTCAGCTTGTAGACAACAAGCATTCCTCATTGCTTCTTTGAATAAGGCTAATGGCTTTATTCAAGTCTGGACAGAGGGAATGTGAATACTGGGTGCTGAGAGGACACAATAAAGCAGAGTACCATATTAAACAAATCTGTGCCTCTACTCCCTCAAAGACTTTTAGACTTTTTTTTTTGACCAAAAGAAAAAAAATCACAACCATGTGAGTATTGTCTGAATGCAATTCGCCCAAACAGTGCACCTTGCTGTTTTCCACTATGTTGCACACAATAAATGAAGAAAAGGCAGCTCATTATGAGAAGCAATTAAAGAAAAGTAGAACCGTGGTATCAGTAATCGGCTCAAAAATTTAGTGCATCATTACTTGGTTGGTGCTCAGAACTGTATCAAAATGCCAAAAATAAAGACAGGCCCTCCCAATCTCAGAGAATCTTAGAAGATGGAAGCACTAAAGTATGGTTGTAGTTCTTTAAATGCCCTTTATACAATGCTAATTTATTATAAGCTTTGAAAAAATAAGTTTTCAACGGAGACTAAATGAAGCAAGGGTAGCAGCTTGACAAACAGGAGAGAGACACGAGCTGAAATCATAATGAAATTAATATTTCTACCTAGACCGATTGATCTCTCTCTCTCACCCGTTTGCACACACAGGTACCTACACCAGATGCAGGTATGCAAGCACACACAGGAAGGAAAGCAAATTACCTTCTTGTTGAGAATCAAGAACATGTACAGGATCCCTGGCTGCAAATCAGCTGATCAGAAATGTGACTAAGTTGCAAAGGACCCATTGGTTTTATGAGCTCCTAATTAATTTTAGTTTATTATGCCACAAACATATTTAAGGACCAAAATAGAGGGTGTATTTCATAAGCACCAAGCCCCCCAAAATTGGGAGTTGGGCCCAGATTGCAAATGTCAACTGGGAACTTTCTCACAAGACTATTTAGGTTCAGAGTATTAGTTCAAAGTCATCTTAGTAATGGCATGATTCAAAATAAGCACAAAGGGGAAGTTCTATTTGGATCCAGCTATAATTATTCTTATAGTCATCCGATATACAATTCCTATGCCTCCCCTCCCCCCCCCCCAAAAAGAGAGAAAGAAAACAATGGAGGGAAGAGATGTCATCACTATCCTCTTTTCTCAAGATGCTTTTCTTCATACCACTCAAAAGTAACAAGATGTCTTATAAAAATGAAGTATTGTCTGTCTAGTCCAGTCTCTCAACTCCTGAATTAGAAATGGCTAAGAGTTAGACATGTCTTTATTAAGGAAAATATGAGCTAGCACTTTACAAAAATACCTACAATGGACAGATACAGAGTGCATGTAGCAACAGTGAGAGTTATTGATGAAGGTGAAAGGTTTCAATGTTTTCCATGTACATAGTGCACCTTTATTGAAGTTCTATATATTACAATCAAAATCAAGTTCAAACAGTATAGGAACAGAGGAAGGAAGCCAGATGGTCCACTCAGTCTCTGGTTTAGTGGTGTAATTTTAATGGCTTTTAGCATAGTTATTCGAGGTTCACACAGGTATAAGGGAGATGGGATTCAGGCCCCTGCCTGCATTTTTACTAAGAAAGGAATATCTGAGGAAGTGACTAGGAAGGTATCAAGTAATGGGGGTTACATCCTATGGTATCAGCACAGGGTAGGACAGTGTAGCATTGACAAGTAAGCCACTTCTATAACTCAGTTCTGAGAACAAACTGCCTGCATCTGTACCAAATGCATGAAGTAGCTACACCACTTTCTCCAAAGGCAAACTCCCTTGGGCTCTCTTGTTCTCCTCACCTCCATCCCACTTTTCACTGCTCTTTCACATTTCTTGAGTGGACTCACAACAGCTGTAAAAGTATGCATTTCTCCAGCTAAAGATAAAGACTTCTGTAGACCACCCCAGAAGGACACAATCTGAAACATGCAATTCTGATGAGATTCTGAAGGGGTGGGGTGGGGGGGAAAAGAGAGAGAGGGAATTTTGCACCAGTCGTCTCGGGAAAAATATGACAACACCTGGGATTAGGGCTCCAGCAGGCTGGATGCTGTGATGAACCCTTAACCATTGTTCAAATGTTGCCCATACCCCCTCTGACTCGGTCTCTTGCCTCAGCATTCCCTAACCCGACAACCGAGTTTTAGTCAATCAAGTTTAAATAGGCCTCCCATAGTGGGACTGGGGAATGTACGGCCCGAGATGCCTATTAAACTTAGAGCTGTGTGTGTGTGTGTCTGGGGGGGAAAAGTCCTTAGTAAATCCAGATTAGAACTGGTCTGATAAATGCTGAGGTGGGTGTGTGTGAACATGGGTTGATTAACATTTGAAGCACAGATTCCCCATCATGCAGTGCTCTCCTGCTTCTCTGGTCCCAGAATTCACTGCAGTCTCTGCTTCAGGCTTTCTGTTCTCCATCTCTCATGTAAATGAATGGTCATCTGGTTCTATCTCGGATGTAAATGAGACCTAGGGCAGTTGTTTCACTCTTATCACCCTTATCTGGAGGGTCTTAGGTG